CTCCCAAGTGAATCATACATATTGCCCCGTCCAATTTCAATTTGCCGCCTTTTTAGATTTACATTGAGCGCCATCTGTCCGTTTATTCGATAGAATAGAATGGCCTCCAAGACTTCCCAACCAAAACCCGTATTGCGGAAACGTTCGTACAAAGTCAGACAGATGGCGCACCCTCATCAATGTGTGTCCGTGTTTTCAATGGATATCCATGGAGGAAGGAAAGTTGTGTTTTCACACAGAACACCTATACATTTTTACGTGTGTACTCGGGCTGGGATGTTGCGTACAGAAAATTTTCGACTGCATTTTTAGTGCAAACGCAATCTTAGCAACATGCTGGGAAGTTTACGCACGTGGAGCCAATATTACAAATTAAGGCCAAACCACATATGCGCGAAAATGCACGCGACAGCGACGAGTGACGCGACGTAGATCGTCTTCGCGCGATCAGTCGCTAACGCAGGCAAACCCACGGAGGAAGGAAAAAGGTAAGGAGAGGGCATGCCCAGCCGGCGCAGGGCGTAAAAAATGTGGCGGAAATGACATCATGGCGGCCATATTCAGTAGGCGCAATGGCGGCGTTGTTATGGTTACGTGTTGCGCAGTGAAGCTGGTGTAGCAGTGAGCGGCCGCGGCTGGCGGCGGAATGTGTGCCTCCCCAGGTCTCGTGCTGAGCCGTGGCGGACAATATCTGTGCTCTGCGCCGCGTTATTGGTTACGCAGTGTTCGTCTGGCTGTTACATTACTCTTAGCAACGTTTACAAATCTCTTTGTCCATCACGGGGTTTCAACAGTGCGTAGAACAAGTGCATATCCATGTGTCGTGCGGCGGATGACGCGGATGAAGCAGTTAGTGTTCAGCGAAATGGCGTTGGGCACCATGACGAAGCTGAATGACGACGAACGCCTTGAAGGTCAGTGACGGTTGAGCAGTGCTCCTGCTTGTGACAACGGACGACGCTGTTGAGCCCAGCAAGACGCCGTGAGGACCATGTGCACATACGTAGTTTCGTGTTGTGTGTGTACAGTAACAACTTGCATGTGCGTATTAAAACACCTTTTCTGTTCCGCTTGGTACACTCTCCACCAGCATTGCATGTTATCTCAACGTAACAGCAACCACGTTCAACTGTCACTAGCACCGTGCTCAAAGTCACCTCGGTCGCAGAATGCTGACGCAGGTGAGTTTCACGCGGAACACGGACACAGTGGCAGGACGCTGCGTCAGTCGCGTGGCGGAATGCAACCGTAGAAGGCGCACGACCGATCGTGTTGTCTGTACAGTTGCTGAATTAATGACGTGAAAGCACTCGCCGTTGTCAGTGCATCTAGCGCGCGTTCTTTCGTAGTTGCTTCGTTGTCAGCGAGCTGTTACTCTTTGTTATTACTCGTACGACGCGATTTCGCTGAAGGTGTCCCGCTGGCTCTGAGTGATGAGCCCAGTTCCATTAGTTTCGGATCGTCACGACACACGCGCTGCGCAGCCCACGTGCTTTTCGAGCCGGAGAGGGAGTCGCGCCTTCTGCTTCGCATTCATATGTAAACAAGAGAGGAGAATTTGCCTACTACGTGACTCGGGCAGGGTCACGTGCACCTATGTAGTCTTTGTCTTTTCCGGTTTTTGGCTATTGGCTGCTTGAGCCTAGCACTTCCGGGCGATGAGCGACGGTTTCCAAATCTGGAGAACCGAGCGATTGCGCGAAAACGAGCACGCGACACGTTGCGCGAACGCCCTGTTTCGTCGCTCATAGCGTCGCTCGTCGCTGTCGCGTGCATTTTCGCGCTTATGTGGTTTGGCCCTTATTCCAGCGAGTACATCTTACGTTACTGATTCGCATCACAATATTAGGTCACCCTAACAATACTGTGGGACTCCTTCCTTTCTCTATATATACCTTTTATTCATATCCTTTTAATGCCTCCTCACCCCTATCCCCTGTGAGCTACTGTTGAGGTGTCGCACCCTGATGCAGACAGTTACGGGGCTCACTTTTCTTTTCCCTTTAAGAACCGCATAAGACATTGAAACACAAGGTCCGTTCGATTTAACCGCACTGCCTGAAATAGTGCACGTGGTGCCACACTCGACAGTTAGTTTTGGTAGGGCAAGTTGGCGCCCTCTCAATTGAGCCATCCTTTTGAAATAAGTTCAGGCATCGTGCACGGCCAGTTCAGACAAATCCCTGCACTAAGTTTGGAGGTAGTGCAAGTCGAGTACAAGCAGTGACGCTGTTGCAGCCATGGTAGCAGGCGAATTATACGTAAACGTGAGCCAAGCGTATACGCGCAAAGCGCAGCACAGTAAAAGGGAAAGCTGGAAGAACGCCATTTCTAGAGCCCGTTGTAAACTCTCTTGGAGCCACTATATACAAGTACACTTGCGAGGAACCCACTAAACCATAAATCATAACTCTTGGGAAGGTGGGAATCACCCATTGTGAATTATTCGTAATTTTGCGGAGAAGCGAGGTACCTGCTACAGATCTTCAAGGCATTAAGTGCACTCTGTTGATGCGGTAGCTGATGATGATGGAGAAGAATAGCTGAGCCCTCTGTAATTGGTTGGAAGCATTCAACGACCCGATCGTTACGCACTTCGCATTGTGTGACACTTGGTTGTTATTTTACTATTTAACCATGCTACATTGCACATGTTGACTGGATCCTTCCGAACAAAAAAAAAAGGGGGGGGGGGGAAGGAGGAGCGGTCTTCTTGCGACGGAGTTCAAGCGCCCGCATAATAATGGACTTAATAGTAGTAGAACAGTGGGCTGCGATGGAGAAGGCCAAGGCTCAAATCCCGTTCCATACTGGATACGTGATAGTGGTTACGGACAGCGGCTGACAACTACGGCGCCAAAAGTGCCATTACGATCTCATAACAGCTTTCGCTGTAAAACTGTGTACAGAAGCATCGGCTCATGCAGGAGATACAAGGTTATGATCAATCTTATAAATGACGTAATACTAACCTGTAATGGTGCAAACAAACCATTTTATGAATGTGTCTAAGTTTCACCATGTGCGATGTTAATGCTGTCACTGAAGCAGAAGGGAGATGAAAGGCAAGGCCGCCTTTACAAGATGGGCGGCACATTACCGAGCACCAGGCTAATGTACGCCTATTCCATCAAGAAAAAACTGTTGTCTGCTAAACAACACAATTAATCGAACCCAGTAGGTCCAGTAGTGGAGGCAGAGGCTGAGCCCCTTTGTCACCACCAGTCACCACTGTGGTTGGAGGGTGTACAGGCACGCAGCCAATCCATTTCCCCTCATGCACCTCGTAAGTCCACATAGCCTCCTCTACCTACCTTCTAGAACACTACTGCAATTCGCCTTCCGATTGGCCTTACTAGCGGATACGACGCGTTAGAAATGCGATACGGTCGGTGCCCCGGCCACTTATCACATTCAGGCAAAAGGGATGATTCATAGCAAATAAAGGAGACTGCAAGCTCCACAGGTCATGAGCATAGCTGAAAAGTGAAAGAAAGTAAAATAAAAATCTCAACAATGGCGTGTGGACAGCCTGCATGACAACGCTTGCCTTCGGAGTGCCTGCCATTAATTCCGCGACTCAGCTGCATATCTGATAATTTAAAGATCAAATAAATGATTCCATTAGTCGCGCCGTTACAAAACAAAACAAGAAAATCTGTATTATGGCGGACGATATGACCTTTATTGTCACTCAAGTATCGTTCGTGCCATAAATAAACGATGCAAGAGAGGCTATACATATGACTGAAAACGCGATGATGTTTGTGAGTTTAGCTAATAATTTAGCCCGCATTGTGCTCCAAAAGATTATCCTCGAAGATTAATTACTAAGGATGCATGTAATGTGTATCCTGCGCAAGCGTTTTTTCATAAATATGTATTACAATAATAATTATAATTATTGCTTTGATTGAAGTGACACGCTAACTTGTGTTTTGAAAAACATGTGTCAGCGTCACACATTTCGCTTCTTTCTTCCAGTTTGAAACTTGTCGAAGGGTCGTATAGGCAATTCAGAGAATTGGGGGCCGTGAAATAACGTGTTATGCCATAATCCTGAGCAGAAACCATGTTTTCTTTTTATTGAGGGAGAGGCAGGGAGTTAGGGAACACTTGCTTAGTGTTGTTTTGTTTCTGACAATGAATTTGTTCTTGAAAGAGGCCTTGAGGGGCAAAAATTTAGGGGTAGTTCTCGCCTCGCTATCACGGCGGCGCCACTGCCGGATTCACGCCCGAGCAGGTTTCTAAATAGAAATTATTTCAAATTATGGGTGTTCCGCCATGGTGGAACAAGGTTATGGTGCGAGGCTGCTGCCCGAAGTTTACGGGTTTTATCCCGGCCACAGAGAAAACATTTCGATGAAGGCGAAACACGTGAGGCCCCCGTACTTTAGATTTAGGTGCACGTTTAAGAAAATCAAACACAAAAAGTTTGCAAGGACCTCGACATGTGGCGTTCCTCATAATCATATGGTGGTACGGTACGTAAAACTACTACTACTACTACTACTACTACTACTACTACTACTACTACTACTACTACTACTACTACTACTACTACTACTACTACTACTACTACAGATCACAGACAAAGTGGAAACTCCCATTATGTGTAGCCACCATCATCTGGCACCCATATCGTGTAAAAGCGTCTGCGTCAGTAATTTACATAAGTGCCGAACGAAACAGTATCAACGTGACATTTAGAAACGCACGCCCATGATTTCTGAACCGATACGGGCGATTGACCAGCAATGTGCGCACATAGTAACCTCAGTGCACGTCCCCTGACGACACGCAGGCCATTCACTTGCCCAACTGATAATGTTCATTCCAGTCGCGAGTAGTATGATAAACGAAAATGTGTAACCGCTACTGTTTCTCGGGCACTCGGGCGATAAGAGATCGCGTATGGCTGACGCGGACTGGTCTATTGTCTCCGATGTGGGCGTCTTTCTGGAACTATCGGGTCGACGCTACTTATAAAATTGCGTGTGGATCCCCATTGAACCACTGCCACCGGTCCTTTCAGTCACAATGGCCCGTCACTGCTCCCTTCTCGCTTTTTGCCTCGTCGCTGTAGTGGCTCCAGCCGTCCGCGGTGACCTTACCCAAGTACAAGTCGAGGAATGCTCATGTAAGGACGACTCCATTGCTATTTCGCATGTGTTTGCTCACAAATCAAATCTTTCCTGCTAACATTGCTGTTTACCTGCATTTTATCGTGAGTACAGGCACTGTTAGAGAACTTGGTAGAGGGTTGGCTGTTTCGGTCTAAATATACAGAGCGCAAATTCATTAAGATGAACGGTAACACTGGTGTTATCCGCCACGGTGGTCGACAGTTGACCCGAAGATCGCAGGATCGATACCGACCACATCTCGATAGAAGCGAAATGCTCGAAGTTCAGCGACACCAAATTTCAAACTTGGGACGTGGCGTTCATTCGATTGCTTGATACGCACGATTTTCTAAGCGAGGTATGAATCGCGTACGTGGCGTAGATGTTAATCTATTTCGATCGTCGATGGCTCATCGGCGCGTTCCCGGTCATGAGACATCGACAGTATTTCGACGTGTTCAGCTGGTTCAGCAAACTCCAAGGTCGCTATATGTGGTACCATCTGGTGGCGATGGCTTCACGAAACAATTGGGCGCTCGCGTGCGCGCATTGAGGAAACTCGGAGTGATACTACAGTGTACTAGAATATACACTATAGTGATACCGTGACGCCTGGAGAGTGCACGAACAACAGACCAACTATTCAATTACTCATTACTCATTTTTTTCATTACTGAGGCGCATGAAACACCTGGGATGTGTCAAAAAGGAGTAGGAACAATTACTTTCTTACTTACTTACTTACTTGCTTCGAGGAGCGCGTTTGTGTGAATCCAGCGTTTTCCTTGTGCCGCTTCGGTTCATTTGTCGCGGAGTCGTGATTGCGAATGTGATAATTTGAAGCCGCAGTCATCGGGAGCAAGTAACACGCATGCAGCGCTCATGTCTCCTACCAGCCAGCGTGTCCCGGGCGTGCGTCTCCAGCTGCCACGTCGCTGCATGGTCTAGTGTCGATTTCAAAATCGCTACTCGGAAGAGGATGGACCCGAAAATGATTCGGCATGCCACGAATAACCGTGATTCTATATTATTCGGTGTTTTCATCGTCATTTGCGGATGCTGATGATGGCGGTGACCATGGCAGCGACAACAGCGGGGGTGGCAAAGCCACGCGCACGCTGAGCAGACGAAATGTCAACTGAGCGAAACGTCACCATTTCGTGGGGCCACGTAATAAGGTGGGCCGGGACCGTGGGGAGTGGCCACTTGACAGGGCTGGCAGCGCCGAAAATTGGCGGGCATTGCAGCCGTTTTGAATTGGGTTCACCACTGGTCGTACTAATCAATATTACATATATTATTTCGCCCCTTTGTTGCATTATTAGTACCGACTTGTTAGTATAGGGTGTCGATAACTCGACATGCGTAAAGTTGGTGTCACTCTTTCAAAGACCACTAGACAGCCAAAATTTCCGGAGTACTCCACTATACGGTGACTTTCGTAATCGTGTCATAGTTTTGAGACGCGACAGCTTAGCAATTATGATTATTTATATGTAACACTGGTGTCAAACGGTTACTTTTCATTTCAATCGGCCCTGCTACGTATCAAACTTCTTTATACTGATTGGCTTCTTTGCGAAAACTGTAGAGGGGAGCCTGTCACTCTTGATAAATTCGATCTGGCTTAATCGCGATCAGCAATGCTCCGTGTCACACCGGTATTAGACAAAATGAGATACTTACTTCAATGTCCCCTTGAACACATTTTTTTCTTTTTGTTCAATTTCGCGCGTTGTATTGCACTTTCAGCTTCGCACCACCCGAGGCTACATACACTGTATAGGCTTCCTTTGCCAAGATTTCGGCAACATTAATTACAATTTCGCAGGCACCATGATTTTTCTAGTAGAAAATAGAGGGCAGCAAATGAGGCATTGAGACTATTGATGTAAAAAAAAACAAAAGAAAAGGGTAGATTATCCAGGTTGTGATTTATTAAGCGCGAATGCATTGACTCTGGTCCAGTATTTCCTTATAGCATATATAGAGTGTTTCCTGTCACTATTTTCAAGGAATACTAGCTGAAGTTTTACGTCCCTAAGCCACAATATGATTATGAGAGGCGCCGTAGTAGGGACCTTCGGAAATCTTGACCATCTGGTGTTCTTTAACGGGCACTGATACCGCACAGTACACGGACCTCTATAATATCGCTTTCATCAAAACGACCACCACTGCCGGGATCGAACCTGCGACCTTCGGTTCAGCATTCGAGCACCCTAACAGCTACACTACCGCGGTAGACTGCGGTTCAGGAATTTCGGGAAAAGAGAAAAGGATAGGGAGAAGAATGGAGAAGGTCTTGATATGCTAATCACGTTGTACACTTTTTGCCCTCTGGTATTGGCGTTTTGTGGTCACACAAAGAGGATGGTCGCAGAAATGACACCAACGTATTCTTTTTCTTTTTTTTACGCAGCTGGATCCACGAGCAACGTGGACGCTGTTCGCATTAGCCACTGTGCCACGCTGCCATGCACCGTAACGCTGGAGGACAAGCCCAAGGTTGAGATCGACTTCCGCGCAGGTAAGGAAGAGACACATCAAAGGACTCGTAATAAACAAGCTCTGAAAATATTAAGAACAAGCGCGTTACTATTTCTTGATATTTCCCGTCTCTTTGGAACGACTCGTGACGCCAGCAGTCTGTTCACGTGACGTCTTCGGGAAATAATTTCTTGGTTGGTACATACACGAGAGATATCAGTCGTTAATCGTCCCCTGTACGCTGCTTTCCCACGCAGTAGCATGCCCTTTATGCCTCGTCTCACATGAATATGGCGCACTATCGTTGATTTCACTTCGTATTGCGCGTTTTCGACAGCGCAAGTGGAGCTAACGGCATCTAGCTGAAAAGCGTGAAATCTCAATAGGCTCAGCTATTAGTGCTGATACTGTCCACGTGTTTTATGAAATAAGAGAACTTCTCTCTATAGTCTTTATATCGCGGAGTGGTGTACGCACAGAGAGCTTGTTCCCATTGCAAGAGCAGCTGTACGTTTCTTGGTCTGACGTTGACTTGAATCACGTTGACTGCAGTAACTGCGCCTCGTCGTATTGATCACTGACGAAGATGGGAGACCACATTATTAAAGTGCTCTGTAAGCCACTGTTATCGAGGTTCGATTCAAGGCACAGCGTGACATGTCTATCGCTATATTGCCTGGAACTATACTCACTCACACCGATCTCACACTTGAGATATGTAGTATTTCTCTAGCGGGTGCACAGGTGTCAGATTCCCGAATTAAATTATTATGTACAAGTGTGTCACTATCTACATTTGAGCACAAGTGCGTAGCTATATTTAGACCATTGGTTACGTTTCTTGATTTTATAATATTAAAATGAGTGTGAATAATACTTTGCTAACAAAATTTCTTGTTTACTAGTTAGTATACTCATAATTGTGCTATTTGTAAAGGGTATTTGGGCGAAACCAAAGGAAACGTATGTATGCGTTATTTGGAGGTGAACTTGACGTGCAAAAAGAATTTTCGCATGATTTGTATATTGTAGATAATTATTAGAGTATACAACTATCTTGCTTTGCATGGTCTCTTAGAACATGTGCGGTACATATGAACTTGCATAGTACGTGGTAGTGTACAATCAATTGTAAATAAACTATGTTGGAAAATGCATGCTATCACAGACATTATTTCACTCTAACTTCGTTCATATAAGTTTACGTGTTTTGAACACTTTTCCTCTAATCTTTGTTCGTGTACTTGATAGAGCAAATGAATAAATATCTGATGTGTGCTTTGTCTGTTTTTCTTTCTAAATACGAATTCCTTGTTATTCATAGTGGCGCTCGGAGTAATGGAGAATACTACTGGGCATTATACACTTAATAATACTAACAAAAAAGGGAGGCCATTTTGTGGAAGACCGAGCGGGTTTTAGGAACCTTTCAATGAATATGTTGTCATTGCTTTTTTTTTTGTTTTACTCGATGTCCATGTGCATTATTATTTGTGAAAATAGTATAGGGGCAATACAATACAATTTACTTTGTCATAGTTCTCATTAGTACTACACTTGATATTTTGATTCTTTTTCAAGTTTTCGCTGTGCATTGATCTGCGTCCATGCAAGTGGTACCAGAGGTTCTTGACGGCTTGTACATACGTACACCGAATGCAAATAGACTGATATACTGAGAGCGACCGAACACGGCGTCTGTGAACGTGTCTTCTGGTTGCTTCCAGCTCACGACTCCAAGACTCTTCGCGTGCGTGTGCTCGGTGCTATTGGTGACATCGCGCCTCAGCCGTTCCCGGCTTTCAAGACCGATGCCTGCAACTTCATGGGCGTCAGCTGCCCGCTTAAGGCTGGCGACAAGTACACCGCCAAGTTTGAGCTCGCCATGTCCCCGACCTTCCCACCGGTAAGCAGCTTTCTGTGTCTTCGCAATATTTCCCATTGGTCACTTACAGACCTACACCGCGTTAGTAAACAGTGGTAGGTGCCGTCGACACACCGAGGCGCTTATAGCGACGTCGCGGCGCGTAGGCTCCGCCCAGCCCAAGGCTTGCCACTGCCCTATAAGATCACGTGACAACTGGCACAGCCGCTGCAAAGCTGCCTCCGAGCCCAGCGCGAACGCGGGGAGGCTCCGTTTCAGTTTGTCCCTGCGTTCACGGTGTGCTCAAAGATGGGCTGGGTGGAGCCTACGTGCCACGACGTTGATACGAGTGCTTCACTGTGTCGATGGCACCTACCTTTGTTTACCAACAAGGAAAAGGTCCCATACCACCCCCGAAACTTTACGTAAATACAGGTGACACTTACGTTATATATATATATATATATATATATATATATATATATATATATATATATATATATATATATATATATATATATATATATATATATATATATATATATATATATATAAGCGCATGGTTCAGATCTGCTCCGCCGGGTGCCGCGACACTACCAGCTGTTTACAGGAAAACCGTCAGCTCTTCAGTGAAGTCATTGAGTCAATCTTCATTAAGTCTGTGTTCAATGAAAATTAGGAGACTACGAAGGGCGATAGCAAGACGCCGATAGCAAGCAAATGCAGAAGAATCCAAGTGACTTTAGTACTACAACCGAGCGCAAAGTGTTCCTGCTTCGTCGAAAGTTGTGTTATGAATGAGCTAACCTATGAAAAATATTGGTTCTACGCATTAATGTGTTGAAATAGAGCTGGTGTAATCGAAGTTGCGCGCCAGATTTGACGCAATGCCATTGTATTATTTTTTACTTATACGCATATCTTTGTTGTAGGTACTGATAGATTGCTATGGATCCAAAATCGTTGTTCAGAAGTTGCAAAAAAACATCAACAAAGAAACACATTCGTTAGCTCATCAAGTGTTCCTTACATTAATTTGTAATTGATTATCTATGCTTTTCACCTAAGTTTGTACTCATGTGACAGATAGTACGCTTTCAAATGGCATTGTGTGACGAGAGCATCAACACGAACCATATTTGATGGGAAAACAATATAAACAGAGACACTTTTTCTTGTGTATTCGTTCAAGGTTGCCGGGAAGGCTGTCTTCAAGGGCCAAGACGCCGCCGGTGAATTCTTCTGCTTCAAGGTTCCGGTGGAGCTCAAGCACTAATTAGCAATAAACGTATGTCTTACCCGGTCGCATCTACTAGCAGTGTCTGGTATCATTGCTTCCCTTAGCAGCGAAGCATCTTTTTACAGCCAATGCGCACGCACGCGCACGTGGTATTTTTTTAAATCATGACCGACGACATGCGTAACACGAGGAAAGCTGCAACCAAATTACTACTTTGATAATGCCACGTTGTGAGAAAAAAATTAAGAAAACCTCTACAATGAGAGTTTGCTCAAAGAAGCTCAACAATGAAACACCACAATGAAAGTTTTTAACGAAGAGCAATCGTTCACACTTCCGTCTCTTTCTTTAACCCTTTATACGCCATCGCCAAGGTGGAGGTCAACGTGCAGCGCTATGTACGGGTAAGTGCTGTAGTCTATGCTGTACTTGATAGAACAGTGTGAATGTGGACAGTGTGAATGTTATAATTGTTCGTTGTCTTACCACGGGGCGGCTTTATGCTCTCACATAGTAGAGTACAAAGTGCTCTAAATGGTTAAGCGCGTTTTCTAAACATACTGAAAGCCTTCGAACTTACTGCGGCTCACCAGCGTAAAAACCTGACCGAGTGCCGCGTTTGGAAGTGAGGGCAACATAAACGACGCGGGCGATACACGACAACCCTCCGCTCTATAACCTGGCGAGGCACACTCGTTAACGACGCAGCAATTAAATTAACGAGTGCTGCAAATGAACCAACTCGGCTCACGCTGAAGCTGTAAACGTATGCTCAGTCTGAGAGCGTCGAAAGCGTAGATCATTACGTAGAATTCTCGCAAGGGGGAACACTGCCCCACCTACCTCCCTTGCCTCGTAGATGTGGCACGGTTTGCATGATATCCGAAGAGGGCCGTAGAGTGCGGGTAAAAAGAAAAAAAAAAGAGTAAAGAGCGAAAAGTGGGGGAGATAACAGAATCTTCGAAAAAAAAAATGCATTAGCCTCTCTCGCACCTCTGCGTCACCTGCCTCCGCTCTGACCCTCTTGAGCACGGAAAAGTCCAGACCACACGGCGCCACGTGTTCTGCGATTCCCTAAAAGGGCAATCGAAAGTGAAAGGAGAAAGGGTAGGGCAGAAGGCTGTACGGAACAAGGTATCGAGAATAGCGAACAAAGCGAGCAAACACGCACGCACAGGGTTGCCAGTTCGGCCGGTGTGTTATGCTGAAACAATGCGGGAGTAGAGGTTTGTGGAGGGTCGCTATAATAGAGCCGGGAGCGATCGGCCGTTAATTGAAAACTGCCGGTTCGAGCCCGCGTGCAGCGATTCCCATCGTGATCAAGTGCTTAGTACCGTTTTGCCACACTCGTTTTGGTAATAAAAAAAGTTATTTTGAAGAGAATCGCACTGAGCGTCGCATAGCAAAACGCCCGTTGCCACCCAAGCGGAATACCCGCGGCTATTTTAGAGCTGCGAGCAGCCGCCACGAAAGCGTGTGCTTTTGAGTGCACGCAGCAGCAGTTTCGTAGACGCCAGCGATACGGTCGTCAGTGCGTACTAATGCGGGGAACAATATACAATTAGTGGCGCAACGTACCCCCTGGATTAATTTAATCGGTGGTCTTTATATAGAAATCGTAAGCGTTTGAAGAACTATTCCGGATGGTGTTACGATGCCTGTTTATGCAGTCACGCACTCGGAGAGAAATTGCGGAGATAACGAAGCCACACTGCGATAAAAGAACATTCGTACCGCAGCTTTGTTATTCGTTGGTAATGCAGCTCGCAGAGCCGGTGGTGCCTCCTGTGTTGGCCACAATTTATGCGTGCACGTGTTAATTATACCAAGTTTGGCCAATGAAATAGGCGGCGTGACCGCTAAATGGGAATACAGGACTTGTAGTTTTGCTACACAAACAAACAAAACAGAAATCAATGTTCCCTCACGAATGCGCGCAAATTGAATTGGCATTCATAGTTTCATTTGAGTGTCTTGTTCATTAATAATAATTTTTACTGATGGTAATAAATACTATGAGACCGCTATTGGCAGTTCCGTCTGAGTGACATGTAAAGGGCCTCATGTACATTTTGCAAGGACGGGGAAGACAAGGATGATATGAAAAAACGGAAATTATCCAGTACTCATGCCTACTGTGTTCTGGACAGAGGGGTAAAATCAATAAAGTAAAATATGAGCAGGTATAAGAAAGAAATGCCAAACGATAGAAAAAGAAAACAAAGTATTTTTGAAAGGAAATATGTCTAGACAGCTGCACTTATCAAACTTCGGACCACTTTCTCGCAAGTGTATTTTAAAATAATGCATGATTTCACTGCCAATTCGTTTATGAAAAATTCAAGAATGGGTGACCGTATGATAATAGTGTGATTAACGGCTATGGTAGGAATTTTTTTTTTTGCAGGAAACAGACCGAGAAGATTAAGCGAAAAGGTGAACGATAAATTGACTTTCCTGATATGCTCCTCGGAAAGGACACTTGAACGAAGTTACGCTGTGGACGCTCGTAATATGCTTAACTGCGTATCGTCGTTATTTTAGTTTCGCGAAGAAAGCTTCTTATTGGACCAAATTTATGATTTGAAAGACAACAAGTGCACAAAACTTCAGTGGCGTGGCTGTCTCCACACGAGGAGAATGTATTTCTTTCCTCCAACCCCTAGCTGCTCCAGGGAAACCAAAACTAGAGCCACTTTGGCCATTAAAAAAAAGAATAAAAAATTGGTCGGGACATGGCACATTTCAGAAAGGTCTGTTTTTTTTTGTAACGCAGCATTCGGAAGAAACATTTGGAGAGGTAATAAAAGAAGAAACAGCGACACAGTTGATGTTCCCGTTTATTTCTTCCAGCCCGTTCTAAGCTAGGTATCTTGCTATACTTCGCAAAGTCTTCCCCTGATGGAAATTTCACTATTTGGTGATATGCTACGCGGCACACACACACACACACACACACACACACACACACACACACACACACACACACACACACACACACACACACACACACACACACACACACACACACACACACACACACACACACACACACACACACACACACACACACACACACACACACACACACACACACACACACACACACACACACACACACGCACTCACACACACGCGACAAACACCATACACCCCCCCCCCCCTACACACACGCACGCACACATGTGAACTCGCGTGTTTTACGCCGAAAATCTGTTTTGCCATTCTCGCTCTCCCCCAATCCCCCAGCTTAATCGCGAAAACATTTCTGAAACTCTTGGTCGTTCAGCTTGAAGCTAAATATTTATTAAAGGTCATTACGAGCATCACTTATTCTCGTACATTTTGTACGTCGACGCTACTTGTGACGATGAGTATACAATCTTATGCAGTCAGTGCCGGTGTCTCATCCGTAATAGGAACCCGATCACACCTGCTAACCCTGACACTAACTCGAAGACATTCATATTCCCAATGCAAGCGTATTCGTACATCTACATGCGCCCCACCTATCGGCCAACCAAAACCACAGGAGATGTGGGAGCGCATACAAATGTCTTGGTTATGCGTGTACCATCCTTTCTCGGGATATCGATCCTAGTCTAACACTCATGATGCCAGGCAAGTTAAAAATGAAAATTCTTTGGCCAAGAATGAAAAGATCTGTGGTGGGGGGCGACAAACGCTCCTTACATTGTTTTGCACTTAGCATTCTATGTTGCTAGGGAGACCTTGGTTTTCACCGATCGCCCCCCCCCCCCCCCCCGCAAAATGCCAAGAGCGGGAACGCTTTCAAGCGTGCTTGCGAAGGCAATGTTCTATGTTCTATGTTGCCCCTCCACCGTGGTCTAGTGGCTAAGGCACTCGGCTGCTAACCCGCAGGCCGCGGGATCGAATCCTGGCTGCGTGTGCTGCATTTTTGGTGAAGGTGAAAGTACTGTAGGCCCATGTGTTCAGATTTCGGTGCACGTTAAAAAACCCCAGGTGCTCGAAATATCCGGAGCCCCCTCCTCCCCCCCCCCCCCCCACTACGGCGTCTCTCATAATTATATGGTAGTTTTGGGACGTTAAACCCCGCATATCAAATCAAATTCATGTTCCGTGTCGATCGCCTGGCTATGCCTGTGCGAGTATTTGGTTTTCCCGCGCAAATGGCATTCATGCTCCACAAAGTGCTGGGTGCGGTGCGCTCATCGTGTCTAAGTGGGACTTACACTGCAACAAATGAGTGAAACTATACATATCTGTGATGAACAGACAGGCATCGAACAGCAAAAGACGTGCGTGTATTCGAAGCGCATTAACTTGTAAAACAGGGGGGGGCGGGGGAAGCAGGAAGCAATGTAGCAGCGCAGTGCTGCACTACAATACCGCAACAAGTGCTCTCAGACTGCATCGCTTTTTTGAGTGAAACAGGTGGTTTGACACCATTCTAGTCAATTTTTGCTTTCCAAACTGGTAGTCGTCGTCAGTATTGCGAGAGCTTTACAAGCGCCACCGTGTTGTGGGTGATACGTCACAGTCCCTTTTACGTTTGCTGATGCGCGTATGACATATGACTTTGCGCTCGCCAGCGTTATAGACTTGGCAATGGGCTTGTGGCTCAAGGGTGGCGTCATTAACGCCTATGCACTATGCGGTGCAATCGAATCAGAGTCCAGAAAAGCAAGCAAAATTATGCCTTCTAATGTAACAGCGTAATTTTGGACTGACCTCGTTCATTAGTTCCTATGCTGAACTCAGATTAGCTTTATTGTTTAAAATAAATGTCTTTTTGGAGAGGTTTGTAAAAAATAAGTGACTTCGCCTATACTCATTGCTATCTCAAAGTTATCCACTATCACAAGACTACATGAATAATCCCATGAATGAACATTCCCACGCATTTAAGTTCAGTATTGCAATATAAGTGTTCACGGGTCAGGAGAGATTCACACATCGTTGATTTCGGTTCCCAGAAACGAAACGACCGCGAAGAACACAAGAGTTCACCTAAATATTCCCCCAGCATATGCTGCAGACAGTTGCAAACGGGGGCCCTATTTGCCGCACTCTAAATATAACCGACACAT